ATGTTAATACATGTTCACCGTAAAACTGTACCATTAGTACCCTTACTCCAGTGAATTTCAGGGTAGTTAATATCTCTCATCATTCTGCTATTAGATGTACAATAACATTTGTTTATAAATGGAAGCAAAACCTTCAATGTTTATTTGTAGGGATCAGTGAAGCTGCCTGCATGCAATTTAAGATATTTTTTCAATCCTGCTTGAAAGCCACAAAAAATTTTAACTTAGGTTGGAAGTAGGCTGCTTCAAAAAAGGTCAGGGGGAACTGGGCACTGCATTTGACAATGCAAAAATAAAGCAAAAAAAAACAACACTATACAGTGAGCAGAAGGTTCTTTTAATGCAACTTCGAGCTCAACAATCCTATAAATTACATGCTTGGGATGTGCCTTTATCTGTACCTGGTGTTTTTGGAACAGCACTATTTTCTCAGACAGTATGAGCAACACCACTTTCTGGCATTCTGGCATCACTAGTTTTGGATGTGTAATTGATTTTTTGAAAAAAAGAGGTAATGTTGGCTGCAGCACCTTCAAGTAAGTAATTGGTAAAACCTGACTAGCACTAGGACAGTACACAAGCGCTTGAATAGGCAGCAACTAGAGAAATATAAGGCATGTGGTACCATGCAATAAAATTAGAGTGTATTACCTGAGAGACAATAACCACAAACATTTTTACAGTGGTTGGTTAAAATATAGGCAGTTTGGTTAGGATGCAATATAAGAGTGACAGCTGAGGCAGGTGTTATCTTGAAATTTGAGTGTATTATTTGAAAGACAATAGCCACAAATTTTGTTTGGTGTATGGGCTATAAATAAGTAGTTTGATTAGGCTGCAATGTAAGAGGGAGAGACGTGGCTGGTTTTAGCTTAAAATAAGTGCTAGAGTGTAATTTTTGAGAGATTACACTCCTGTTACAGTTGCATTGTAAGCTGTCAGGGATCCAGGTATGACCAGAGATGTGTGGACTGACACAGGGAAACAGCAGGATTCAGAAATGATTAAATAATAATAATATTTATTATGAGCTGCACAAAATAAACAAACACAGTGCAAAACAAAACAAACCTTAAACTAATAGGTACAGGTTCAGTCAGGGCTGGAGAGGTGGAGTGGTCAGGCAGGCTGGGTCAGGAACAATCAGGCAGAAAGGTAAAACGGGAGCAGGCAGAAGAATGGTCAGGAATAGCCGGGGTCGGTGCAGGCAGAGTTCTATCAGAGTCATAGTCAAGCAGGAGAGTCGAGCAGGCAGGAGACAGGATACAGGAAACAGGGCACATGGGAAACAAACACCAAGGCACTGACTGCAGGTCTGGCCATTCCTTAAATACACCTCCTGCAATCAGCCTCAGGTGATGGCTGATTGCAGGAGTGAGCTTCTGGTTGCTGAGAGCACCCGCTGGCCAGCCCTGGTACTGCAGCCCACAAGGCAGGTGAGTCCCACCACCATTGGCGAGTCCATTCCTGACATAAGCAGGTTTTCTCTTGAAACAGACATTAGAGTTTTATATTGGATAGATAATAGCTAAAAATGTTGTTCAATGGCTGGACAGTGTGTAGATGGCTTGGTTAGGACACAATATGAGAATGAGAGACACGGCTTGTTGTATCATTAGAGTGTAGTATCAGAGGGACAGTAGCCGTATATATTATGGCTGACAATATGTAAGTAGCTTGGTTAGGCTGCGATAAAAGAAGGGATGAGAGAGGTTTTATTTTGAAGCAAACATATGAATTTAGAAATTTGGCATTTAAGGCCCAGTTGCAGAAACAGTGTGTGGCAGATTTCCAGGGTAGGAGGACTAGAATAGGCTGTAAACTTTGAAGTGAAAGGGGGGATTTACCCAACAGCAAACATTAGACATTTTCATCAAAGAAGCGCCATGCTGTACCTAATATTCCATTTAGGTTAATGAGAGAGTATTGGTACTCTGACTCAGGCTCCTGTTAGCCAACTTTTCAATCACCCAAGATAGTCGCACTCAACAGGATCTTAATCAAAATTTGAAGATTTATTGATGCATGTGGTTAAAAAAAAACATGTACATGCATTGCAACCTAAACTATCTTAATCATTGCTATGTACATGATTTTTTAACCCTATGTATCAATAAAGCTTCATATTTTGTTTAAAGTGGAATTGCACACAAAAGGGGAAGTTTCACTGCTCATCCCCCCTTCTCTGTCAAAATTGGCATTTTTTTTTTTGGGGGGGGGGAGCAGGTAGCTACTTTTGAGTGGTACCAACTCCCACTTCTGCTCCAATCACCTAGCGGTCACAGCAAAAGTTCACCGCCCTCCTCTTCTCCCCGTAGCCTCTTGGGACATGTCGCAGGTCCCAAGAGACTGCGGGACCATTCATAAGACACAACATGGCTCGCACATGCACAGTGGGCAGCTGGCTGTAAAGCTGCAAGCTGTCACAGTCATCTGCCCACAGTTAAGATGATGAGTTTTAAAAACCAACCATTCACCTGTTCAGGGATTCAGTGGCATCATCGCTCCAGCAGTGTTCTTCACTGCTCTTTGGTCTCCGGTGCTGGATCCCTGAACAGGTGAGTGGCTGTTTTATAAAAGTCAGCATCTACAGTTTTTGTATAATGTTCGGGCCCTGCAAGTGAGTGCTGCCTGCAGCCAGGCCTACCCACTGTGTTTTATAAAACCCTCAAAAGCTTTGCCAAGGCAGCCACTGCCATTGAGGATCAGAGGCACGTTGATAATCAGAGAATATGTTACAAACATCAGGAAACACCTCAGAAAGGTTCTTGTGCAGCATCTCCTCAAAGTGATACATTTTAGATTTCTTTCTAGAAAGGTGGAAATATATCATCGTTTTTACCTATATATCAGGGATATATAATAGGGTGGCTGCCCCTTAGTGGTCCTTCTATTTAATGCCTATATCCTTGGATGCTTGCACAGGCATTTGAGCATGAAATACCCCATTTACCACAAACTAACTGCAGCAGAGGATCCTGAATCTTCAGCTTTGCTAAGAACAACACTGTCAATCTCACCCCACATCACCCCTTCTTTGTATTGTTCCTCTGCCTCCTGCTGCCTCTGCCTCGCAGGGATGGAGGGAGTGGGCAAAGGATCCTGGCAGTACATAAAGGTATGACCATCTAAAGTGGTCTCAAACCCTTTTGGCTTGACAAAGAATCTCCTGGAAGTCAGAGTACTTAAGGAACCACTGCACCACCAGGTTTAAGTACAGTAATTTCCCTGGCTAGGTATATAAATTAATTTTCCCTGTTGAAGGGTGGCCAGCAGGATAGTAACATTTCAACACACAATATTGCCTGGGTAAAGATGGTGTGGCATCAGCCACCTCTTGGTGTGGGCCTGCAGAGATGCCAGAAGTGCTGCAAGATACAAGGTGGCACCTTAGATGCTTGCACAGGCATTTGAGCATGAAATATTCCATTTACCACAAACTGACTGCAGCAGAGGATCCTGAATCTTCAGCTTTGCTAAGAACAACACTGTCAATCTCACCCCACATCACCCCCTCTTTGTATTGTTCCTCTGCCTCCTGCTGCCTCTGCCTCGCAGGGATGGAGGTAGTGGGCAAAGGATCCTGGCAGTACATAAAGGTATGACCCTCTAAAGTGGCCTCAAACCCTTTTGGCTTGACAAAGAATCTCCTGGAAGTCAGAGTACTTAAGGAACCACTGCACCACCAGGTTTAAGTAATTTCCCAGGCTAGGTATATAAATTCATTTTCCCTGTTGAAGGGTGGCCAGCAAGATAGTACCATTTCAACACGCAATATTGCCTGGGTAAAGATGGTGTGGCATCAACCACCTCTTGGTGTGGGCCTGCAGAGATGCCAGAAGTGCTGCAAGATACAAGGTGGCACCACCAGCTTCAGGGGAATGCCCTGTCCTGCATCTTTCCCAGTTGCCAGCAGATTGACTGTCATGAATTTGTAGTATCCCTGCATATACTTGCTGGACCATATGTCCATGGTCATGTTTACCTTGCCTCTGACAACGTGGTCCAGTGACCACATTACAGTCCACATACTGGTGGATAGCAGGGACAACCTTGTGGGCAGCTCAAGGGGCTCTTTAGGCTGTATAGGGCTGAGCTCCTAAGTGAATGAGACCTAAAGGTTATAAAACTGTAGTTGTTTTTGACTACTGTCATATTAAATGCCTGTTATCTTAACTATCACTTAAGTCCAAGTCACAGTTCATAGTGCAGAAGGCGTGAACCGTGCAGTATTATTTATCGCACCTGTGCACATTTAACCCTTCAGTGTAATCACTGCACTGACAGTGATCAGGACAACGATGTTTTCAAATGGGACGTGTTCCAAAGCAAGCCATGGAAGAATCGAAAAATTTTCAAAATTTGTGTAGATTGTCAAATCATTAGTTTTTCATCATATGAGCTATTTTAGTTTTTCGATCGATAGAACTTTTGCTTTTTAACTCATCTATGGCCTGCCTAAAAATAAAAGGAAAGCAAATATAAATGAGTTCTGATTTATTTCAGATGATTACACCTGAGAAAGAAACACAATCAGCAGTTAAGTTTCTCCTTTTTTAACTCTCATTTGCTTTCATTCCACATATTTCACAAGCCAGCTAGCTCTCCAAACCAATGTGCTTTGTTCATTTTGTAAGGGAATAGCAGTAAAGTCTCTGCAAGGAACTCTTAATCATGACATATTTCTGAAAATATTTACTCACACTTGCCACTTTTTTGGTGAATTTGCTAGTTGTCTGGCTGTCTTGCTAAATGCATTATTAAACCTTCCTACCTGCCAGGGCTGGATCTAGCTATCTATTCTGGGGGTGCAGTAAAAAAAAAGTCAGGCGCATAATGTCAACAGTGTGACAAAGATGCCGGGAACCAGTATTTCCAGTTTACTCAACATGCTTCTGTACCATGAGTCACAATCAGAGGCATAGCTTGAAGCTTGTGGGCCCAGATGAAAAAGTTGACCCACTACTTTCCACCATGTGCCAAGATGCTCCCACTGCATGCCAAGCAGGAGCGGACTGACCATTTGGAAACTCGGGAACTGCCCGAGGGCCTGGGGTCAGTAGGGGGCCCCATGAGATGCCCCTGGTACCTTTTTCATAGGCTTTTTTGAGTTTGGGCAAGGACACAGGGGCCCCATGATCCCCTATTGCCCGGGGGCCCCTTGAGTTATCAGTCCGCCCCTGGTGCCAAGATAGCTGTATGGTGGCTGTCTCTCTCTCCTGCTGCTGTCTGAACGTGCACACAAGGCGGGTGCAGGCAGGCAATACTCTGACCATGAGCTGTCAGGTTAAAGTGGTAGGTTTGTATGTAAAAGAAGAAACTCAGCAGGCCCTATAACTTCCAGATCCACATACAAGCCCACCACTTTCACCCAATAGCTTATAATGTGGCCTGCCTGCCCCCACCTTGTGTGCACGTTCAGGGCTGAGCAGGGGCGGGAAGGAGGTACTGTACTGGACTGGGTGGGGGGGCTGATCAGAGAGAGTGCCACTGCAGATATCACACCTTTTAAAAAAAAAACACCTTTCTTTTGTATGTTATTAAACAGCACTCAGTAACCTCTATCAAGGCCAGACTGCAGTGATATGGAGGTGCAGGATATTAGGGAAAAGTAGCATCCCTCTTCCTGGTAATGACACATACCCTCCTGCCTCCTCTTGGTTTTGACAGATGACCCTTTACCCCCACCAGGTAATGACAGATGACCCCCTTCCACCCACCAGGTAATGAGAGATGACCATTTCTCCTCCCACTAGATAATGACAGATACCCCCCCCCCCTTCACTTAGTAATGACAGATACCCCCACCCCCACCAGGTAATGACAGATGGCCCCCTTCCTCACCAGGTAATGACAGACGACTCCCACCTTCAAGTACCCTCCTCCTAGTAATGACACATGGCCCCCCAGGAAATTACTGATTCCCCCCACCATCCTGGTAATGTCATATTATCCCCCCCCAGCATGCTAACAATAACAGCTTCCCCATCCAGCTGCCCCTCTGATCATCCTGCTCAAACTGTCTCAGTAAAATCTGCAGCCTCTGGAGCCCGAAGTCCCTCGGGGGCCCCTCAGGAGGTGTTACAGCATTTTTTGAGAATTTTTGTGTGTGTCAGCAGGAGTTGTGGGGAGGGGTGAGGCGGGGTGTGTCTGTTCTCTGCAAGGATCTGACCAGTATCTTTTTACCTCCCCAATGACGGCAGTACCAGCTCCTGGATGGTGCTCTCCTCTTCCTCCCTTGCTCAGCCCAGGGACAGCTCAGTGTCAATCATCACTGAGCTGTCCCTGGGCTGAGCAAGGGAGGAAGAGCACTGGCACTTTCCCATCCAGCAGGGCTGGCCTCACTCTGTCCTTCCTCCGCAACTCTCCAGCTCGGGATGTGAAAATGGAGCCAAAAGATCAGAGCTTCCACTTTGCTCTGCATTCCGCTTTGCCCGTTATAGTGACAGGGAGACAGCATGGGCCCCCCTGGAGCATGAGCAGAGTCATAATTGTGGTCCCCGAGACCCCTGATGCTATGCTTATGGTCACAACCTAGAAATAATGTTTGACAGGTAGTGCAGAGATGGTTTAGGAGTGAACAGGAAATGTTAGTATGTTTTAGGTTAGATGAGTATGAATAAACAGATCCTGTATCTCCTTATATCCAGTGTCCCTATTAGAATCCTACTTACATCAGGAGTCCTCATCTGTGTCCCTCTTACAACAGCTCTCCCATCAGAGTCTTCCCTTACATCCGAGTCCTCATCCAAGTGCCCCCTTACATCAAGAGTCCCCACCAGAATGCTCCTTTACAGGTGCCCTTTTACATCAATTATCCCTATCAGAGCCCCTTAAATCAGTTGCCCTCATCAAAGTGACCCTTACATCAAATGTCCCTATTAGAGTCCCTCTTACATCAATTGCCTCATGGAGCAGTGGATGTACTCTTAGAGACCTGGGGGTCACAGCTGGAACCTTGAGGGCACATCCCACCCCAGTACCCTACTAGATCCGAGCCTGCTACCTGCACCTTGAGTTTTTCACCTGCATTGATCATGTGGTCTTGTGGTGTTTTTCACATTCTGTTGTCAGACTTTCTGTTTGTGATCAAACATGAGGCATGCTGCATGCCAATGCACAGACTAATGCATGATCTCTGAAAAAAAAATCAACTCACCACTCTCAACCCAGGAGGTCCATAAGAGCAGTGAGGAGGATTTGTGCTAAGCATGAGGTTTGATCTTTTATGCTATCTCAGTGGTTCCTGTCCTTTTTCAAGTCATGACACACTATAATGGAACATGACGTGTCCATTACATGTCATACAAGACAAATATTTAGACACTCAAACCAACTTTGAGCTTCTTTTATTCTACAACAAAGGAACCAACAAATCAATGGAGAATATAACGTTGAATACTTAGCTATTTGTAAAACAAATCACACCAATACTTTATATGATCTCAACATTCTACAAGGTATTTTTTGTATTCTTTATGGGGTATTCTTGTCAACCCTAGATCATCCCTGTCATATTTTCTATCCTCCACAATAGCTCTAGTGGTAAAGGTTAATTTTTTGGCTAGGTTCACACTTGTGTGGGTCACACTTATCTGCAGGCAAAACCTTCTGCTCTTTAGCAGACTTGTGGGGGCATCATTAGGAATTAATGGCACCACTATGCATTTGCAAAATGCCCTGATTCAATATGCAAAACTGCATGATGTCAAAGCACCATGCGACTCTGTGTGGCATGGTTTTAAAAAAGGGGTCTGGGACTTCTTTACCCATGTCTCTGCAAGTAGGAGCACATTGAAATAAACTGTCTGCTATACCCGAAGAACACAGGTCGCACAAGTGTGAACCTAGCCTTAAGGCCCATAAACATAAGAAAATTGTACGAAAATTTCTGTACGAGGAGCGACCGTCTGATAATCTGATCATTAGTACACAGCTTTCGAGAGCCGAGCACGACAGTTTTTGTTTAATCATCCAAATGAAATCCAAGACCAAGACCACGTATGCTCAGAAACTGAAGAAGACATTACAATATATTACAATACATTACATCACTTCTGGAGTTGCATTCTGTCATATGAGAATTTTTGTAACTTTAGTAACCTCTTCATTTTCGATATGAGATTAACATGCAAAAAAAGCGTACGATCATTTGTCCGATATTCTCATCATGTGTACAGGGCTTTAGGAATTCTAAAGGCAAAGGTAGCAGATGATCTAGTTTGCTTAAAGATTAATAAAGCAATGGGCCCTGATGGTATTCACCCCAGAGTTCTGAGAGAACTTTGAGATAAGGTTGTTGGACCATCAACTTATCTTCTTAATCATTGTCTTCTAACATGATTTACAGACAGGTACTATTTTACCTATCCACAGGAAAGATAGCAAGGAAGAAGCTGGAAACTACAAGCCAGTGAGTTTAACATCTATAGTAGTAACATTATTGGAATATTTCCTAAAAAGAAGGATGAATGATCATTTAAAATTACACAAATTGCTGGACCCAAAGCACCATGGCTTTGCTGAAGAGAACTGAAAAGAACAGGCGCTGTGGAAAATGCTCTCAGTCAAGCACCTTAATGAAGGTGCATATTTATTAAGGGAGATAAAGTAGCAAATATAATAAAATTTGACCAGCCTGAAGTGAACAGTGTGACTCCAAAGGACGGCCCGTCCGCTCTGAAGGGAGCTGAGATCGGAGAATGCTCCTGTCGGCTTCGGATCACGTGGTGTCAGCATTCTGGAGTCTCGGGTGGCGGCTTGACAAAGCGCAACTGCGCTAAACATGTCGTCTTGGTAACCCTGCATACACTCCCAGCTGAAACCGACTCCGGACACTGCCTTCCGCCCTTCGCTTGCTACTTTATCTCACTTAATAAAGATGCATCTTCATTAAGGTGCTTGACTGAGAGCATTTTCCACATCGCCTATTCTTTTCAGTTCTCTTCATCATGCAAATGATTAACAAGGCAGCAGTGGTGAGCTCATGATCAACTGTTCACATGCTTCCACCTGGAGTAGCCTCTCTGCGCTCAATTGTATGAGTTTTCCTTTGGCTTTGCTGAAGGGAGATCATGTCATGTGACAATCTCATATTAAAGTGAGGCAGATGAGGAAGATCATATAACAATCTCATGTTAAAGTTGCACAAATTAAGACTTAAACCTTGGGTGGTTTATTAGATATGCAGAAGGATAAGGGATAGATATAAGAGTGTGGTTGTAAATGGAGTTAATTCTGAACAAAGGCCATTCACTAGAATTGTACTACAAGGCTCTGTACTAGGTCTTGTTCTATCTAATCTATATGTAAGTGATATAACTGAAGGTTTGGTGCTCATGGTATGTCTTTTTGCTGATGACACAGAGGTATGCAATAGGTTTGATATTTTCTGAAGGTGTTTATAATGTGGATCATGATCTGGCATTAGTCAAAGCTGTAAAAGCAGCATTTAACCATTTACCAATATAAAATCAGGAAACTAGAGAAAAATAATTATCTGAAAGAGTACAATATTGGGGGTACAGTGAAGACAAAATTACATTATTGAAAGTAAAAGAAAAACCCAACTTTGGGATTGTCCCCAGAAAAGTAATAGAGGGGTAATCTTCCAATGGGGACACTAGTTCTGGTGACCTGGGGGTCCCCAAGGAATTTGCTTAATTTGCAGGGATTTCCTCTCACTTCCTGTTTGACTATAGGACAAGAAGTGAAGGGAAATCTCTGCAATGGGACACAGATGGCAAAAAAAAAAAATGATCAAAGTTATAACCGTCCCCAGCTCTATCTAAAATGAAGAAAAAAAGGTTTTACCTATAGTTCTACTTTAAGGGTGTAAATAGGGTTCATGAGGGCAGTATTCTCAGTATGATGCTAAGATCAAACGAGCAGGAAGAATGTTCAAAACGAAGGCCCCTTTCTCAGGGCTTTCGTATCATGTCCACCTGTCAATTTTTCATATGGAACTAATCAGAAGCTGCAAGCATGTCTATGGGCAGGTGAATGTAAACAGACTTCTTCCTCCTGCCTCCGGGTCTGTCCAGGTTCAGAAAAAACATTTTTTCCTAGACCTAAAAGCAGTGGCATAACTTGAACCTTCTGTGCCCCGTGCAGGAAACCATGAATGGCACCCTGATCCCCGGCTGAGGGCCGTTCCCTCCAAGCCAGAGGCCCTTACCTCCAAACCCAGTGGCATAAGTGCAAAATTTGCGATCTTGGTAGTTCCGCCACTGATGTCAGTAGTTTTTTTTCTATTATTATTTTTTTACCATTTTATTTTTTTTTTTACAATAT